AAACAATATTGAGAGCCAGCATATACTGTGCACCAGGAGCTTAATTCTTTCAATGTTCCCATGAAACGGACACCATCACTATCCTCCGCTCACAGAAGAAATAGAGGCACAGAAAGCCGAATTAATCTGCCATACATCCGCCAGCCGCTACGGTGCAGCTGGGATTTGAATCTCTCTCCCTCCAAGTATGTTCTCTTCACATCACTCTGATGTGCTCTTGCACAGTAATTGCCTGGGCCCTGGCACATGGCCTTAGAGGAGATGCTTGAAGCTTGGTATGAACTGTCCCCAGCTGCCTCCTTATGTAGATGCCATATGGGGAATCTGTGCTCCGTCCTGGATTTTTCAGGATGGTCCCAAATCTACGCACGCTGATTCATCCTGCTCTTAAACTTGCAATCTGCCAGCCAGGTGGTCCCACAATTGGGTTAGGAAAATGCTTTCTGGGGTACCCGGGAGTGGACCCCACCTCCTTTTCACTTGATAGTGCACATCAGTCCTCAAAGCATCCAGTAGCTCAGCTCAGAAATACAGTAACCCATGAATTTGCTCAAGGAGACCATTCAATCCAGAGTAAATATAAGGGTGCATTCAGAAGGCAAGCCCATCGACTGTTTGTTGGAGGCCAGGTTTGCAAAGACCGCGGGAGACTTGCTTCCAAGTTTGAAGTTGTCAACCATACAAATGTCACCTCCCTTCCCTCTCAGCTTCCTGCTCCATTCTGTATAAATAAGTGCCCTCCACAGGGAAGCTGTAAACTGTAATTAACATGAAGACACATGAATAATATTATACTCCTGAGAGTCCATTATGGCAATCATTATCCAGGTCGCTTGGCTTTGCCTTCTGTCCTTTGTGACAAACGTGGATGTGTTTTGTATACACTGAATGCAGGGAACAATTATTTCACTGTAAAAATTACATTTTATTCATTTCTATGACACATAATTTATTAAGACCTATGGCTTAAATACCACGGAACTTTTGTTTTTGGAGTTAAATCACTCAATAACCCTTTTGAGTTAAAAAAGAAAAAAAAGAAAAAAGCTTCCTTTCATTTTCTTGATGTTTTTCTCCAAAAGTAGTTTCAGTACAGAAATGCAAAAATAATTCCTGGGAAGCAACCAGGAAACACACCTAGGAGTTCTACCCCAATCTCATTAACAACCAAAAAAGGAATCTTTGTCAACCTTATTAACCATCAAAGAAATGCAAATTAAGAGACGTGTTTTGTTTTGGGGTTAGGTTAGCAGAGCTTCAGCCAATGATGCGATGTTAAGCTGTCCAGGTGTGTGGGGGGGTCACTCTCATACTCTGAAGACCGAGGCGGCCTGGGTTGATGCCATTATTTTGGGAGACGATTGGAGAGTGTGCTAAACCTGTGTTTCCTAGAGGTGTATTCCTAACGTCCTACCTTAGCATGGGGTCCATATATGTGTTCAAAGCCATTCACCTAGGCATTGGATCAAAAAAGATGGAAACCAGACAGAAGTTCACCAAGAGAGAACAGAGTACATGAATCACGATCCAGCCTTGCAATGGAAGATTATGCGGCTGTAAAAGGGACGGGCGTATGCCTTATGTGGATAGCCAGGATCCAATAGATGAAAGAAATTAATAGCCAATGCTTATTTGTTTAAAAATATCAAGTTTTCATTGTGCATTAGAAAAACTCTGGTAATGTTATTTCCCGACCGGTAACAGTGGGTAATTCTGTGGAGAGGGTTGGGAGAGAAAAAAATGGCTTTCCCTTTTGCATTTCTAAAGTTTGGTATCATTCCCAGGTACTTAAAATGTTTTAAAATTGTACGTGTTGGTGGAAAGAGAAGTGTTCGGTAAGTTCACGCTTATTGCTTCACTTAACTGCTGACCTAACAGCAAAAATTCCTTGGGGAGGCTGATGTTTACGAGGTGTCCGCAGTCAGTTAAAAGGCACACAGAAAGAAGCTTGAGTGAGCTCTTGCGAGTGGGTGGGGGTGGGTTGGGGGAGCTCGGCGCCACCTGAGCTGAATGGCTTTAGAAATGCCCCCACAGCACGCGCGCACACACACACACACACACACACACACACACACAGGTCCCCATCCCCCACCCCTCCCCCCATGGTCACCCCTTTGCCATTGCCTCCCGGCGGTGAAGAGACTCTAGCAATGAAAATGCCCCATCACACAGTGTCTTTTCTCTCCCTGTTCTCATCTTCACCAAATGCTTTATCATAAGTGAGAAGTATTTTAACCTTCCATCCAATAGAGGGAACAGGAAACTGGAGTATTTTATAAGGAAAAGAGATTCCCCCTGAAGAAACCTTGCATCAGACCTAAATCTTAGAAATAAATACCCCCTGAAAAGGGCACTTTGTAATATATTCAGAGCAGGACACAAGACAAGCCTCCTTTTTACCCAACCCCCCGGCCATGCTGTGTGTCAAATCCAGGCTTGAACTCCATGGGTACGCTTGGTATGTTTTGTTACTAAGGCAGTGAACTTGAGAAGGAAATAGTGTCATTATATTCACCCTGAAATATCCTGAGAGGAAAATGAAAATAACTCAGGGGATCACTCTGCTTCTCTCTTGATACTTTTTTCCTCTTGCTATGGTTCAGCATATTGCAAATAAATTACTGTTGTCTTTGTTCTTTGCAGGATTTTTTTTTTAATTTTGAGAGAAAGAGAGAGAGAGCAAGGGTGGGGCAGAGAGAGAGGGGTACAGAGGATCCAAAACGGGCTCTTTGCTGACGGCAGACAGCCCGATGCAGGGTTCGAACTCACAAACTGTGAGATCGTGACCTGAACCAAAGTTGGACGCTTTACCAACCGAGCCACCCAGGTGCCCCTGTTTTTTTCTTTCTTACCTCTTCACTCAATTCGAGCCACCCAGATTTGGGGATTGCTAGGAGATTCAGTTTTGCATTACAGTGTTTTCAAACATGATGTGACTTCACGTGAAGAAATATTTTTAAATTTAAAAAGAGGTTCAATTTCTCTCTGATGTGAAAAAGCTTAAATGTGTTGCATAGACTGTCCTTATGTTGTCAGGGGTACGAAGACATACGTACGTGATAACCAGTGATGAAACGGAAGCCATATCACAATAACTCTATCCTTACCTATACATTCAATAAGAGTATAGCTCTCTTACAAATACATTTGAACAGTTATACAATATCTAAGAATGAGACAGTATACTCTATTAATCAGTCTATTCTACTCGATCCCTCATTCATAATACCAGATATCCACATATCTATGTTGACTCTCTCTAAAGAACATTCTGTGTGGCTGAGCTCGCTTGACAAAGGATGTACAATACAGAAACTTTTTCTGTTAAAAACAAAAGGCCTACTGCTGATTCCTTGGAGTATCAAACTGTCCCAGAGAATTAAAAGGTCGCTCTGTTTTCTGAAATGCCATATCCACATGATGGCATGGCACGATCACCGGAGACAGTTTTCCCGGCAGAGCTGGGAAATGAACACTGCCCAGTCCCTCCCCACACTGAGCAATCCTAGAATTTTGCTGGAGTGAAAAGCCCCATTACCTTTCACTCGGCGTTTGCTGTGCTTCCTGGCTTTGAATTTGGATGTGTGGCTGGTGGTCTGGTCCAGGAGTAAGGTGATAACCAGGATGTAAATTACAAGCCCGTTCTTTGCCATGGCTCTTGGGTAAGTCTGATGACCACTCTGCCAGTTCCTCTGGAGTAGCTAAGAGGCGAGTGGACTGGGCAGCCTCATCTTGCTCTGGAGGGCGTGGGCCAGCTTTATAAAAGTGCGTGTGAAGGTTGGCTGGCGTCCTGCTGACGAAATGTTTCAATTCCTCGGCTGGCCACAGCATAAGGTGGCCCCTTGTTCTTGCGTCTCGGGTTAGACTTTTTTTTTTTTTTAAATATTCCGGTTACATTTTCTACTTGACTTGCCTTTTCAGAGTGTATGAGAGTTAACTAAGAGCTTAAGGGTTTTACCTGCTTTCTTCTTTTCTTTTTTTTAAAGTCCAGGAAGTTTGGAGTCTCTCTGTGAGGACCTCAGTTTGTAAGCCCTTGCTTTGGACCTCCGAAGTTCACTTAATGTTCTAGGAAACTCAATTCGGTTTTCAGGGCAAAAAAAAAAAAAAAAGGCACACACAAAAAACTAGGAAAGCTACTGCGTGTGTGTGTGTGTGTGTGTGTGTGTGTGTGTGTGTATGTGCGCGCACGCGCCATCAGAGTCTACACATGCTCAAGTGTCTATACAGCTCCAGTGGGACTTGGGAATGACTCACTCACAGCGATGGCTAGAGTGGAGAGTCTGTGATAAAGGAGAAGCCTTTCTATTAGGATTTTGTGGATTAACCAAGAATTGTATTTGGGGGAAACACACCTCAGAATGAAAAGAAAATTAAGACAGTGACTTATTTCCGTAAGAATTAATGTAGAATATCAGTTACAGCTATTTTGCAGACCCCCATCGGCCAACACTTTTTTCTTTGAAATTACCCCAAATGCTTAAAAAATACTTTCGAAGGGAAGATAGAAATTCACAGAAGAATAAACTGGAAGACTCGGTGTGATTATTCTTACCTTAACAATGGGCTTTTTAGGACAAGTACCGGGGACCAGATAGGCTTTTGTATGAAAAGCAAGGGACTTCCAGACTTTCATTATTTATTTATTTTCTTTCTTCCTTCCTTCCTGTCTTTCTCGCTCGCTCTCTCTTTCTTTCAGACAATACAGGAAAAATCAAGGGGTGACTGATTCCTTCTGGATCTTGGGAAAACCAGTCTAATCTGTCTTCATTGCCTTCCTGTCACAGCCTCTTTGTACCCTTCCCACATATTGATACCAAAGTAAAACCGCTTGATAGAGAAAAGTCTGACATAATTTAGTAAGTGTGAAATAAAGAATGAAGGTTTTACTTATAATGCAGTCTCCTCATACTGATTTGGGCAGTCTACGGGTGGGTAGACATTTGAGGGCGTTGTGGAAAGAAGCTGAGCAAATTTCCCATTCTAATTTCACCTCTTTATCAGCTGTGTGACCTCTGGCAACTCACTGAACCTGCCTGGGCCCGTTCTCACACTTAGGAATGCCTACTTTACAGGGCTATTGGAAAGATTAAGTGAATAGTGGCTGTAAACACTTAGCACAGTGCCCAGTGCTTAATGATAATAACAGTAATAATATCTGTAATATCCTTACCATTAATTATAACAGTACATACAATTTATGGAATACCAGATCTCTTTTGTCTTCAGAGGGAGGCTATGGGATAAGTATTCTTTCTATTTATAGATCATCGAAGCTGAGCCTCAGGACAGTTAAGTGGATTTCTTCATCACTCAGATGCCAGTGGAGTCAGAGTAGAATTTAAAATCTAGTTTGGGGGTACAAATAAAAAAAGTAAATAAAATCTCATTTTGATTGACCCTGGGAGGTCTCTCCTCTGACCTGGCCTGAGAAAAAAGGTGCTTTGATTTGAATAGGGAAAAGGATCAATGTCTTATAACTGATCGTATGATTGATCGGAAATACTTCTGGCCAGCTTCTCAAATCCTTTACTCTGAGAAGAGATTTCAAGCTACAGAATGGTGGGGGAAAGCTAACGATTTCTCTTGGATCTTTGATCTCTGCTGTGTTCGAACTAGACTTGTAACAAAAGGCTATCTTTTTCCTTCAAAATGAATGTGTATTGTTTTGGGCTCTTCTTTTCCAGTAGAACCTCTGGCATTTTTTTGGATTTGTTTTCTTGGAGCCAGACTCTAAAGCCTATGCTTTTGTCCTTTTAAATTAATACACTTTATTTTTTAGAGCAGTTTAGAGAAGTTAGAGAAATTAATTAAATTTAAATTTATTTTTTAGAGCAGTTAGAGAAAAGTGGAGCAGAAAGTATAGAGAGTTTGCCCTGCCCGCC